TTTTTTCTGTTTGTCAGGAGAGTAAATATTTTCAGTTTTGTGGACCATACAGTCTTTTAGTATAGCTTTTTACCTACTTCAGGTATTTAGAATGGTGGTCCTCTCACTTTGGCTGAAGTTGAGATTTTTTAGGATGATATCTAATTTCTCATGTTTGATTAAGAAATTAGGTAATTTATCCCCAGGGTTTATATTTACAAACTATAGTAGGAATCTCCCTGCCCCCCCCCTCCCCCGTAGCATTTAATGTGGGATTAGATTCTTTTCCAGTTAGTTTCACTAGAAAATGTGTTGGTCATTAAGTAAGTGGAGAGAAATTCCTAAGTATAGCATGGGATTTTGTCTTTCATCAAATTTGTGTAAATACCAGGGACCGATTCATTCATCTAAGTCATCTGAATTGAACATTTAACTATTTTCCTTTCTGTTGACATAAATTTGTTAAAATTTTATATGATTATATGTTTTGGAATGGTTATATTTTTGTACGGTTTTATGCTTTGGTTACATGGAAAATGGTTATATGCTTCTGGTAACTTCTACTTTGTAATCTTTAATATTATTACTGTTCTGTGCCGTCAAGTCGCTTGCATGTCATAGCGACCCTGTGTACAATAGCCCTGAAACCTGCTCTGTCCTGTGCCAATCTTACTGTCTCTGACACATCTACCCTCATTACCCCAGTCACTGAATCAATCCATTTCATTGATGGTCTCCCACTCTTTCACTGACCCTCCACCCTTCCAAGCTTGGTGATCCTCTCCAAGGACTGGTATCTCCTTGCAGCATGCCCAAAGTGCATTAGACAAAGCTTTAGAATCCTTGTCTCCAAGGAGCAGCATGGTTTTACCCTCCTCAAGACAAACCTGTTTGTTTTCCTTGCAGTCAATGGTATATTCAATACTCTTCTTCAGTACCACAGCTCAAAGACATTAGTTCTTTTTCTCTTATCTCTAGTCATTGTCCAGCTTTCTGATGCATAGCAAGAAATTACAAAGACTGTGGCCTGGGTCAGGTACACCTTAGTCTCCAAGCTGACATCGTTGCTCTTTCAGTCCTCTGGAGAGGTCCCTGACAGTACACTTTCCCTGTGCAATTCGTCTTTTGATTTCCTGGCTGCTGGTACCAAGAGTGTTGATTGTGGAGCCAACAAACTGAAGCCGTTAATAATCTCAATCTCTTCATCATCTGTCGTGATGCCCATTGGCCCAGTGGTTAGAATCTTTGTTTTCTTGATGTTGAGCTTCAATCCATATTGAAGCCTGCTGTCCTTGATCTTCTGCAACAAGTGCTTCAGGTCCTCCTCAGTTTCAGCAAGCAAGCAAGGTTGTGTCATCTTCATACCACAGATTGTTGTTGTGTCTTCCTCTAATCCGAATGCCACATTCCTCCTCATAGAGCCCAGCCTCCCAAATGATTTGTTCTCCATATCGATTGAAAAGGTATGAGACAGGGTTCATCCCTGGTGTATGCTTTTTCTGATTTTGAATCATGCAGTGTTTCCTTGCTCTGTTCTGACGACTGATTCCTGGTCCAAGTATAGGTTTCATATAAACACAATCAAATGTTCTGAGATTCCCATTCTTCTCAGAGTCAGCCAGTTTTTGTAATCCATACAGTTAAACACCTTTGCATAGTCAGTGAAACACAGATAACACTCCTCTTATACTCTCTACTTTCAGCCGAGATCCATCTGACATTAGCGATAAGATCCCTAGTACCACGGCCTCTTTTAAACCCAGCCTATACATCTGGCAGTTCTCTGTTGATGTGCTGTTCTAGTGATTTTTGGTTAATTTTTGGCAGAATCTTATTTGCATGTCATAATAATGATATTGTTCGATAATTTCCGCATTTCTGTCAGGTCACCTTTCTTTAGAATGGGAACAAATATAGATCTCTTTCAGTCAGTTGGCCAATAGGTTGTCCTCAAGATTTCTTGTCACAGTCTGGTGAGAGCATCCAGGGCAGTGTCTGTTGAAATATGTCAGTTGTTTTGCCATCAATTCCTGGGCCTTGTTTCTTGCCAGTTCTTTCAGAGCAGCTTGAACTTCTTCACCGCAAGCTCTTGCTCATACATTTTTGCATGAAATTCTTCCATGTCAGCCAACTCCTTTTGGTACAGTGACTCTGTATATTCCTTCCATCTTCTTTTAATGCTTCCTGGATCATTTAATATTCTGCCCAAAGCATCCTTAAGTATTGCAACTCAAGGCTTGAATTTGTTCTTAAGTCTTTCAGCTTAAGAAATGCTCAACGAGTTCAGCCCTTTTGATTTTCTGACTGTAACTCTTTGTACATTTCGTTATAATACTTTGCTTTGTCTTCTGAGCTGCCCTTTGAAATCTTCTGTTCAGCTCCTTAATTTTTATATTTTTTCTCCTTGCTTTTGCTTCTCGGCCCTCTAGTGCTATATACAGAGTCACATCTGATACTCATCTTAGACTTCTTCCTTCTCTGCCTTTTTAGTGACATTTTGCATTCTTCATGCATGATATTCTTGATATCCTCCCACAGCTCATCTGATCTCCGCTCATTGGTGGTGGTGGTGTTATTATTAATTTTATGGAGCTCCAGAATTAGTGGATAGGAGTTGCACTACCAACTCAAAGACACAGTTTGAATCCACCATCTGCTCTATGGGAGAAAATGGGAATTCTCTTCCCATGTGATCAAACTGCCTATAAAAACCTACTGGAGGGTCCACTATGAGTTGGTTCCAACTCTAAAGTATATGACAATGACATATGTCAAAAGAACCAAAATAGTTAAATACTTTTGATAACTTCTTCTTTGGGAACTTTATTATCAGAAGAAAACTGTGTGAAATTTGGAAAAGAATTCATGGCCAAAGATTATGTTATTTATAATACTGAAAATTAGGGATAACTATCAGACACAGAAGAATTTCATGAAACAACATATGAGCAAGAGCCTATGGTGATGAAAGAAGTTCAGGTTGCTTTAAAGGAAATGGCAAAAAATAAGGCCCCAGGAATAGATGGTATACCAGTTAAGATATTTCAGCTAACAGATGCTGCCCTGGACATGCTCACCAGGTTATGCCAAGAAATCTGGAGAACAACCACTTGGTCAACTGACTGGAAGAGATCTTTATTTGTTCCCATCCCAAAGAAAAGTGACCCAACAGAGTGTGGAAACTGTAGAACAATCTCATTGATTTCACATGCAAGCAAGATTCTACTGAAGATTATCCAAAAACGACTGGAACAGCACATCAGCAGAGAACTGCCAAAAGGCCAGGCTGGGTTTATAAGGGGTCGTGGTACTAGGGATATTGTAGCTGATGTTAGATGTATCTTGGCCGAAAGCAGGGAGTACCAGAGGAGTGTATCTGTGTTTCATTGACTATGCGAAGGCATTTGACTGTGTGGATCATAACAAACTGTGTCTGACTCTGAGAAGAATGGGAATCCCAGAACACTTGATCGTTCTAGTGCGAAACCTATACTTGGACCAGGAGGCAATCGTCAGAACAGAGCAAGGGAACACTGCAGGGTTCAAAATTGGGAAGGGCGTACGCCAGGGATGAGTCCTATCTCCATATCTTTTCAACCTGTATGCAGAACAGATTATCCGGAAGGCTGGGTTCTATGAGAAGAAATGTGAGGTCAGGATTGGTGGACGATTTATCAACAATCTGCGTTATGCAGATGACACAACCCTGCTTACTGAAGCTGAAGAGGACCTGAAGCGCCTGCTGCAGACGGTCAAGGACTGCAGCCTCCAATATGGATTGAAGCTCAGTCTCAAGAAGACAAAGATTCTCACCACTGTACCAATTGGCAGCGTTAGGATGCATGGTAAAGAGATTGAGATTGTTCACAGCTTTAGTTGCTTGGCTCCACAGTCAACACTCTTGGCACCAGTAGCCAGGAAATTAAAAGGTGCATTGCTATGGGAAAGTCTGCTGTTAGGGACCTCTCCAAAGTGCTGAAGAGCAATGGTGTCTCTCTGGAGACTAAGGTGAGTCTGATACAGGCCATAGTCTTTGCAATCACTTGTTACGCATTAGAGTGTTGGACAATGACCAGGGAGCATAGAAGGAGAATCGATGCCTTTGAGCTGTGGTGCTGGAGAAGAGTATTGAGAGTACCATGGACTGCTAGGAAAACAAACAGATTCATCCTGGAAAGGGTTAAACCGGGTGGCTCCTTGGAGGCAAGGATTCTGAGGCTCCGTCTAACATACTTTGGACATGTTGTGAGGAGAGACCGGTCCTTTGAGAAGGACATCATGCTTGGAAGGCGGAAGGAAAACAAAAGAAGGGGAGGCCCTCTGTGAGGTGGATTGATTCAGTGACTGGGTTAATCGGGATGGGAGTGTCAGAGACAGTGTAATTGGCATAGGACAGAGCAGAGTTTAGGGCTGTTGTACATATAGGGTCGCTATGAGTCGCAAGCAACTCGATGGCACATAACAACAACAACAATCCGCTTATAGGAGGGTAGCTCCGTATTTTGTGTACTACTTGATGGAATTTATGTGACTGTTTATAGTTGTTTTTGTGTATTTTTGAGCTGGAACTAACTCATAGCTGACCCACAGCAGACCCATAGCTGACTCGTAGCAGGTTTTCAGAAGCAGTAAATGGCACCAGAAGACCAGCCGGTGGTGCTTGTCGATTTGAAACACGCATGCCTTTGGGTTGGCACCCCAACTCCTTACCACCAAGCCATCAAGCTTCCTAGTAGATGAAAATATTACCACATGTAAATAAGAATTAAAACCGAAGTTTTAGAAAGAAGTATGGGAATGATTACACAGTCACAATAAGATAGCACTACTTTTTAATAGTGATAGAACTCCGGGAAATGTAAATTTTTCTTCTCCAGGTTTCTTGAACTAAGCATGTTTTTTTTATTTTAAATTTTTATTTTAAAGTGTGTATTTTTTTATTAGAGTAAAATCTTCTTTTTTTAAAAAAAGCAAATTCTGTGTATGTTTGACCTAATATAAATTTTTGTTATTTATTTCAGAGAGTAGCAGATCGACTGTATGGAGTATATAAAGTGCATGGGAATTACGGACGAGTTTTCAGGTAAGCATTTTACAGACTTTTTTTTAGTATCATACAAACTTTTAAAGTAAACATGACTAGTTCTAATTGGCTTTCTTTAAATAACCTTTTTTTTAAAATTTTTTATTGTATTATTTTTACGTGTATCGTCAAATCAGACCTGACTGGTACAGGAGGAGATTGCCCCCTCCTTCTCCAGCAGAGCATCTGGTGGATTTGAACCGTGTACCTCTGGGATTGCAGTGCAGCGTCTTGCCACTAGGCTACCAGAGCTCCCTTAAATAACCTATTTTTTAAAAAAAAAATAAAAACCCAGAATAGATTTATTGATGAAGCAAGCCTCCTCTGACTTTATCTCAGTAAAAGGAACATTTGTTTCCTGCATCTAATTTGCTTTTTGTCTAAAAACAGTAGTTCTTAAAAATTTATGAATCTGGAGAGTAGCAAATAATTTTTCTTTTCCTTTTAACAAACAAATATATTCCTTAAAGTTTAGGAGAGCTGTCAGAGTCCAGGGTGTTGGCTCTCAGGGAATGCTTTCTGTAGTAATGGCCTTGTGAAAAAGTCCAGTGTGATGAACCCATAAAAATGAAACTGCACTTACAGAAGCAAGGAACAGGAACTCTCTCTGCTTAGCATGATGCCTAGGAAGTGACCGTGGAAAATCACTGTTTTATAGAATAAATGACTTGCTTGCTTTTCTTCTTTTGTCATTTTATAGTTTCTGAGGATTATTTTGATGGTGACATTTTAAAAGTTAATATCCCAATGATTTTTATATGAAAAGTGTCCTTGTTAATGTTGCCAGTGGGGAATATGAAGGCATAAATATTAACACTTATCATTGAATGATGCTTCTAGTCATTCTACACTTGCTGGGATCCTGCTGTGGTAGAATCGCTATGATTTTATTTGAGAGCACCTAATTAGTACCATTGTGAAAGAGAATGTAGGAGAAACAGTAGATTTGAGGGATGAGGTGGAGGACTGTTTTGGATAGATTGCATTTAAATTAAACCTGTTTTCTATGACACAATTATCACTGTGGATCAGAATTGTGAGAAGTTGATGAGAGTATGACTGATATAAACAGGGCTTATTCTCTATAATTTGTGAAAATAGTTCAGTGAGAATGTCAAGATTAAACTAAGTCTGCAAGAGACTTGAGGACCAAACCTTGGCAAATATGTATATTCAGAGATTGAGTAGGAAAGAAGATAAGAGGGGGAGTTTAAGAAAATAGCATTGTCATAAGGCACATAAGAATTACTGTGTGGGAGGTAATACCAGCTGGCCTCTGTCTTTGGGAAGTAGGTATCACTGCTGAAAAGAAATTGAATAATTATGTGTTTGGGGGACTTAAAGGAAGTGACACAGAACAGTCTATCTCAAATTAATGCAGTGGGTAGTCCTTGAGTATGCCTTGCACACCTCTCACCTCCCCTGGCCACTCCCTGGGGAACTTCCAGCTGTGGCAAGTGCAAAATCTCTCTGAAAACTTGAGTTCTGTCAATTCATGCAAAATTTGCACGTCATAGAATGTCCATAACTGTTAGCTGTATTTGTGTATGAATGAAAGAAATTTTTCCCTTCTCCTCAAATGTTGAAATTATTCATAAAGATTAGGCCATGTTTAGTCCAGATGTCCAACTACAATCAAATGGATTGAGAAATTATGGAACATAACATGATGGAATACTACACAGCATGTAGGAGCAATGATTTTGTAAATCACTATGTAACTTGAGAGGGACTGGAGAGTATTATGCTGAGTGAACTAACTCAGTCCCATAAGGACAAATACTGTATAAAAACATTATTGTGGAATGTGTTTGAGGATCCAAGGTCGGGTAAGTGGGAGCAGGGGGCTGAGGATGGACAGAGGGGGAGGTGGTTAATCATAGGGTCCCACAATGAAAAAGATCCGGTATGAAAACACAAACTTTGTAAATAAACCATTATAAAATAAAAATTTCATTTACAAAAAAGGTTGAGTATATTTATAAATCTTACGGCTTTCAATTGTGATGGAATATTTTTGTTTGAGAGACACTGATGCAGACATGAGAGGATTGCTGAGCAGTGCCAGTGTAAGGGATCCTTTTAGCTTTTGCATGTCAATGACTCATGAGAGTACTGAAAAAACTGGAAAAAGAATCTTAATTTGCTACCAGTTTTTGGTGTGGTTTGAGAAGAGATAAAATATAAAGCTGGTCTTGTAAACTTTATTACGTAATTTAAATTGTTTTCAGTATAGATGTCCATTTACTTTAAATTTGGGCTCTTTGCTAAATTGGAGGTTGCAGTGATAGAGTAGAAAAAATAGAGTATCTCAAAAGAGGAGGTATAAAATGTCATCAGTGAGAAATGAACACTGAACTCAGAGAAGAAACAAAAGATTTTATAATGTATTTATATCAAGGATCGTTGCTAATGTTTGCTTGTTTTCTTTTTCTGTATTGAATACAGTTCATTTTCTGTTCTTCAGATTGCTTCTGAAACCCTCCCACGTAGTCTCCACCCTTATTATAGGTACCCTTCATCCCCCATTATAGCTCCTGACCTGCTTTGAGGCAGCTGCAGGGCCATTCTTCACAAGGGCTTATAGGTTGTTTTTGCTGTTTGGTGCAGGCCAGTCAATTCCAAATCATAGCAGCCCTGTCTGTGTACAGCGGAACAAAATGGGTTGTTTGTTCTGCTCCCTCCTCACAGTCATTTTTGTGTTTGAGCCTATTTTTAAAGCCACCGTGTGAGCTGAGGATGGTTGAGGATCTTCCTCTTTTCCTCTAACCCTCGACTTTACCCTGCATGATGGCTTATTTCCAGGGGCTGGTCCTTCCTGTTAACATATTCAAAATATATAAGATGAAATTAAGAAACATCCTCACATTTTTCTGGCTATACTTTTTCCAAGACAGATTTGTTCATTTTTCTGACAGTCAGTGATATGTATTTTATATTTCTCACCAACAACTGACAAGAAAATATCTATTTTTTTTCCTGTTCCCAAAAAAGGTGATCTAACAAAATGTGGAATCTATCAAACTATATCATTAATATCACATGCAAACAAAATCTTGCTGAAGATTATTTAAAAGTGACTAGACTAGCATACTGACAGAGAATTGCAAGATACTCAAGATGGAGGAGGATGTCGCACTAGGGGTATCTGGTCAGATGGATTTTACCTAAAACCAGAGAATACCATAAAGATGTCTATCTGTGTTTTATTGACTATATAGAGGCATTTGACTGCGTGGATCACAGCAAATTATGGCTATGTTGAGAAGAATGAGAATCCATCTTCACAATTCCAAATACTTAATTGTGGTCATGCAAAACCTATCCCTAGATCAAGAGACTAGTTTTAAAACAAAGCAAAGCAGGAGACTAGAGCGAGGGCTGCATGGTGGAGGGGACCTGGGGGAGGGTTTGTAAAACAATGAAAGAATCTTTTCTTTTACTTTTCCATAATTTTTGGACTCATGTACTTATAACTTGTTAGTCAAATTTGTGTCTTCTAGGTTGCAACACCCCCATGATACATCTTCAAGGATATGAACATGTACAGCCAAGCACAATCAATAAGAGTGCATCTGAATTCCAAAATCAATCTCCATAATAGTCTATGTGTTTCCTACTGCCAAAGGGGCCCTTTAGAGTAGTGAGAGAAGATCTTCACCCTGAAACCCACAGCGTCCCTTTTCAGCAGGAAGTAGCTAAGAGAATACGCCGTCCCCTTTTCCTTATGACTCAGGGTGAAGTCTCTCTCAGGGAGGAGTGATAGGGAATGGCAAAGGATACACTGACAAAGAAGATTAATCAGAACTGGCTTTGACAAGCACTGTGGCATTTGGACAAGAACAAACTGGGAGGAGGGTAGAGAGAATAGTGCAACAATGAATGAGTGGAAGCCCAAAATCTCTGTAAATGTTTATGAAAATTAATAAAATATAATTATAGAAAAAAAAAACAACAAAGCAAAGCAACAGCACATGGTTTAAAATCAAGAAAGATGTGTGTCAGGGTTGAATCCTCCCCCCTATCTAGTCAATCTATATGCTGATCAAATAATTTGAGAAGCTGAATTTTATGAAGAAAATTGTGGCTTCAGAATCAGAGAAAGACTTATGAACAATGTGTGTTATGTAGATGACACTGCCTTGCTTGCTAAAAATGAGGAGGACTTAAATATTGATTGCTACAAATGATTGAAGACTACAGCCTTCAATATGGATTACATCACAATACCAGAAAACAAACATCCTTACCACTGGGCCAAGAGGCAGTATCATGATAGATGGAGATAGGATTGAGGTTGTCAACAGTTTCATCTGGCTTGGATCTACAAGGAAGAGGCTCAAAGACATGGATTGTAAATGTTAGTAAATACAGTGTTCTGTTGGGAGTTGATTCTTATCTGTCTCATCAGTTAGGTGACTTTTGAGTCAACTAAAAATCTTGGAGCCTTGATTTTATGTATCTTTTCAATTGTGAAGTTAAATGAGTGATTTCTAGATCTTTTCTCAGCATGGAACTTTAGGTTGAAAGGAAATTCTGCAGAGTATAAACAGAGCCTGATGCCATGGAGCTGTTTGACCCTGGAGGCCTCCCTCATGCCTCTGCCCCCCCCAGTGAGTGTCTGCCCGTTGCTGTTAGATCAGTTCTGACTCACGATGACCTATGTGTTGCTGAGAGTTGCTCCTTGGCTTCTCTTGGCTGTAATCTTAATAGAAACCGATTGCCAGGCCTTTCTCTGTAGTGCCAGTGAGTGTGTACGTTAGGAGTACAGTGCAAACCATTAGTGCTATCCAGACCTAATACTTAACTTTAAGTTTTATTTTTGTTGTAATATGTAATATTTTTCATTCATACTCTAAATCTAAGGAGGCCTGGTGGCCCAGTGGTTAAGCACATGGTCAATACCTGTTTTTATTGTTCTGTGTGCTAAGATTACTACCACACTGTTACTCAGAAGCCTCAGGTCAACAAAGTCATATATACTTAAGCAGTTATATGAA